AATCAAACGTTCCATTTCTGAGATTTCCTCATTGACGGACGCTATTTGTGAGATGAGAAACATGGGACGATACGACAACGAAGGACTCGCCGTCAGCTGCGCGCAAAAACTCAAGGTGAGATGAAACAGTGCTGGTAATAGGACCCTCCACCCGAAACCTGGTCTGTTATAGGAATTGGTCGGCACGAAACACAGCTCTGGTATCCTTCCAGATGCCCTGATGAATGCTCACCGTAGCGGTGGAGCTAATCCGGCTCACACTGCTGGTGGACGTCTGGAACAGGCGCTCAGGTAGGTACTGTTTCTTTTTCAAGGGCCGTTATGCTCCATAATTGGGGTCCGTATCCGACAGTATCCCCATCTTCCGCTCTCCCTGAGGTTTACTGAGGTAAGCCAGAGAGTTAACCAGATCCAACCTAATCTTTTAAGATGGCTGGATAACCCTGGAGTTGACGATGGCGGTTTGGGACTTCGCGCTTTGAAGATGATGACGGATGATGCACGACGTCTGGCCGATAGACTCAACCCACAAGATCGGTACGTTCTTCCAATCAATACCTGCCTTTTACAGTACGCTCAACAAGTTGGTTCAGTGGCCATCTGCTCGGTCTGTGCTCCGATATCGATCGATTAGCTAATCAATTGGCTGATTTGGAACGACGTGGCCTGGGTAATACGCCTGAAGCGAACGCCATTCGTCAACAACTGAAGGATAAACTGCGGGAATTGTCCGACTTCATGAGAAGAATCCTCACTGATCGTGTGGTAAGTGAGGGATTCCTTGTGAGGGCGCTCCACAGACGTTGTATGGGCGGAGCAGGGTCTACCGCTACGCTTTCTTCATTGATGGACCCTTTCTCTCTAAGACGGTGCGAGAAGGGTCGTACTAATGAGGAAGGCGCAGTGGTACGTCCGTATCCGCCCACTTGACCAGCGTGGAGTGTTCCCCTGAGGGGAAAACTTGGTTTTTCAGGCCATAGCTACTTGAACACACCCAGTTGTGGTGGAAAACGTATATCGTCATTTTAGGTCGAAGACTTTGCCGACATCACCACCCCTCTGAAGCAGTTTGTCGAGGCTGTCCACGCTGAACCACATGCTCCCAACAGGGAAGGAAACTTCGTTGATAAGGTAAGCAAAATGTCAGCTATTTTTTGTAGTACCTGAGCTAAAATGGGAAAATTCTGCTGACAGAGCTTATAGTTAGTGAAAAAGCTACACTGGTAAATTTTAAAAGTAAGTATAATCATATATAGGACCCTTGGGCTTAGAACCTACAAAAATGAGTGCGCTGTGGATAAATTAGACGATGGTTCATGCTTGTTGTGAGCCCCCCATTTCGTAACGCGTGCGAGTTTTTCCCGCTCGGTCACTCTCGTTTACAGTCCAAATTCCACAAAGATAGGGTGGGCTGGGTATATCATTTGAATAAGGCGGAGGCAGCCGTTTCTATTAGAATAGTTTTGTTTTGAGACAACTGTAATCATGTGTTTCTTGGGCGCAAGACAAAATGCCGGAAAGTGGTTTGCCTTGAAAATAAATACCCCCACCTACGGTGCCTCAAATCACCTACGTCCCACTCCCGCTTCATCTTTGGGTTATGGGGGGTGCATTTCGTCAACACAAGCTCTCCTGCGCTCCCTTTGGCTAGCTAGCCACCGAACTTTATTTTTTTAGATAGAGGGATGGTTTTTTCATGAGAAAAGACTAAGCGAGACTAAGGTAGTTGTGGAACTGGAGGAGGAGCGGCGGTCGAGACCAGCAAGCGCAAACCCCGCTACTAAACTCTCTGCTCGTCTGGAGTTCTCGCCTTTCTGAATTTCTCGCCCTCTGAGAGAAGCGCAGACCGAGTAGGGAATATGCAAGACCTATCGCTCGAGCTTACCGTTTGATTCCTCCCAAACTACTTAGCCCCCTCAGTTGAGGTTGTTCATTAGCATTCTGCTGACTTACTACTAATCTGGCGCTTTCTTGCTACGTCATTCCAGCTAACGCCACTAAATTCCAGGCTGAACGACTACAACAACACGCCAGCAGTATGACAACCACTGGCAAGACTGGTAATTTTTCTGCTCCATTTTTGCTTCTTGTGACACTGTTTGGACTTAATAAATATTACTACCGAATTTTTCTGCAATTCAGGTTGCTACATGTGGCCCATGCAAGAGCAAGAATACCATCGAGGCCATTGTGGACAGCTGTGAGAAGGTACCAGTATTGAAATTTTTTTCCACTTGCCTTTGTTATTTGTTGTACTATTCATTTTTGTTCTCTGTTAGCAGGTTTCCGGGCGTTGAGCAGTTGGGTGTTTGGCTACACCTATTCTCTGATTGTCTGCTCCCTCACTTGTCTCGTGAAGAGGACGCAGACAGGTAGAAAATGGGCGTGGCTTGGCCTCCTTCCCAGTTACCTCTCTTAAAGAAACTCAGCGCCGTTTTCTGTGTCAAGGCAGGGGAGGGGGTTAACTTGTAGCGGATGGAAATTAGTTTCCTTTCTATCCGTTGCACTAACTTCTTTTCTGTACTAAATTGAGGTATTTAGGTAACATAGGTGTATTACTGGGGAACCGTACTGCACCTCACCCTCAGCTTGCTCACGGTGTTTTTATTGCAAGCTACCATATTACATTGCTCCAAAGCGCCACTTTAATTCCTCCATTGAAACATTTTCAGATCGATCAAATGACCCCACAATTGGTTAACGCAGGAAAGATTCGTCTCCATAACCAGACGGATTCGGCCGAGCAACACTTCGAGAACCTCCACAGGTACTGCTAGGCTTCAGATGTCACTTGTTCATCCTACATCACAAAAGTTTTCAGGCAGTACGCTGACGCACTACATCGTCTGCGATCCCATGTTGACGACGCCATTGACACCCACGAGTTCGTCAGGGCCAGTGAGAATGTAAGATTTCAACATGGGCTCATTGAAGGGTTAAAAAATCGGGTGTTGGCCAAGGAAGTCGAACCAGGACGAATGGTGCGGAGGGGAGACGCAGTGCATGTGAAACGCGGGTAATTT